TTAAATAATATGAGGTTTTGGTTGTTGCCTCCTTCCTTAATGCTTCTTATTTTAAAGAATTTTATGTACGTGGGCAGCGGGACTGGGTGGACTGTGTATCCACCGTTGGCTTCTAATATTTTTCATAGTGGGCCTTCAGTTGATTTAACAATTTTTTCTCTTCATATTGCGGGGCTTTCTTCTATTTTGGGGGCAATTAATTTTATTACTACTATTGTTAATATATATCATAAATCTTTGTCTATGGATAAAGTTCCTTTGTTGGTTTGGTCGATTTTAATTACTGCTGTTCTGCTTCTTTTGTCCCTGCCAGTTTTGGCAGGTGCTATTACTATGTTATTGACTGACCGTAATTTGAATACTTCTTTTTTTGATCCGTCGGGGGGAGGGGATCCTGTTTTATATCAGCATTTGTTTTGGTTTTTTGGTCATCCTGAGGTTTATATTTTAATTTTGCCCGGGTTTGGTTTAATTTCTCATATTATCATAAGTGAGAGGGGGAAGAAGGAGACTTTTGGGTCCCTGGGAATGATTTATGCTATAATTACTATTGGGTTTTTGGGGTTTATTGTATGGGCCCATCATATGTTTACTATTGGTCTTGATGTTGATACTCGAGCTTACTTTACTTCTGCTACGATGATTATTGCCATTCCTACTGGGATTAAGATTTTTAGTTGAATTTCTACAATTCATGGCATGAAGATTAATTATAATCCCACCCTTTGGTGGGCTATGGGGTTTATTTTTTTGTTTTCTATGGGGGGGTTTACTGGGATTATGTTGTCTAATTCCTCAATTGATATTATTTTGCATGATACTTATTATGTTGTGGCTCATTTTCATTATGTTCTTTCTATGGGTGCTGTTTTCTCTATTATTGCTGGGTTTATTCATTGGTATCCCTTAATTTCTGGGTTTACTTTAAATAGATTTTATTTGAATATTCAGTTTGTTTCTATGTTTATTGGGGTTAATCTAACTTTTTTTCCCCAGCATTTTCTTGGGCTTAGGGGCATACCACGGCGGTATTCTGATTATCCTGATTCTTATTTGGTTTGGAACATTATTTCTTCTATTGGGTCTCTGATTTCTATTTTAAGGTTGTCTGTTTTGATTTTTATTATTTGGGAGTCTATGTCGAGGAAGCGAAAAATTGTGAATATATTTTTCCTTAATTCATCATTAGAGTGGTTTAATTCATTTCCTCCAATGGGCCATAGGTATAATGAGGTCCCATCTATTTAATTTTATTTTGTTTTTTTAATATGGCAGATTAGTGCATTGGATTTAAGATCCATTTAAAAAGATTTTATTTTTGTCTTTTATTAAAAATTAATACGTGATTATTGACCCTTCAGGACTCAAATTCCCCTGTTTATGATATAATGATTTTTTTTCACGATACTACAATGGTTGTGTTGGTTTTTATTACTGTGTTAATTTTTTTTATTATGTTAAGGTTTGTGGGAAATAATTTGGTTAATCGGTATCTTTTGGAGAATCAGACGATTGAGGTTGTTTGGACTGTGGCTCCAATGTTTATTTTGGTTTTTATTGCTATTCCTTCAATTAAAATTTTATATGTTGCTGATGAGGTCATTAATAGTAATTTGACAGTTAAGGCTGTTGGGCATCAGTGATATTGAAGTTACGAGTATTCGGATTTTTTAAATATTGAATTTGATTCTTTTATAGTACCTGGAGATCAGCTTGAGTTGGGCGGTTTCCGCCTTTTGGACGTGGATAATCGGTGTGTGTTACCCTTTAAGTATCCAATTCGTGTTTTAACTACTTCTATGGACGTGATTCATGCTTGAACTGTCCCCTCTCTGGGGATTAAGATGGACTCCACCCCAGGCCGCCTAAATCAGGCGCAAATTTTACTTAGGCGGCCTGGGGTGTACTTTGGCCAGTGTTCTGAGATTTGTGGAATTAATCATAGGTTTATGCCAATTTCTGTGGAGTCCACTGGGATGGTTAATTTTAAGAGGTGGTTATTTAGTTTTTAACTTTGAATTATTTATTTTTTGAAATTTTATGTTGTTGTTTTTGTTTAGTTTATTAGAGGGTCTTGTTTCAAGGTCATTAAATGACTGATTTAAAGTGTTGATTTTTTAAATCGAATTATAATAGTAAGGGTACTATTTTTAATGGTTAGTGAAGAATTAGTTTTATTTTAAAACATTAGATTGTCAATTTAAAAATATTGATTTATTATTTGTTAATATTCTTTTATTCCTCAAATAATGCCTTTATTTTGAATTACGATATTGTTGTTTTTGGTTGTTTTGTTGGTGGTTGTAATGTCTGTTGTTTATTTTTTTTATTTTCCTAATTTTGTTATTTGTAATTTTTCTGTTCATAAAAATAAGATTTTATGGTGTTGGCAATGATAATAAATTTATTTTCTATCTTTGATCCTTCTACTTCTTTTTATACTTCATTAAATTGGTTGGGAATAGTTGTTTTTTTATTTTTAATGCCCTATCAATTTTGGCTGGGTCAGTCTCGGTTTATTCATTTGTGAGATTACTTTATTAAGTTTATGTATTCTGAGTTTAAGATTTTGATTCATTATTCTTTTTCAAATTTGATTGTTTTTATTAGGTTGATTATTTTAATTTTTTTTAATAATTTTTTGGAATTGTTTCCTTATATTTTTACTTCTTCTAGACATATGAGGTTTTGTTTTTCTTTGTCTTTGAGTATTTGGGTTGGGTGGGTTATGTATTCTGTTATTAATTATTTAAGAAGTTTTTTATCCCACCTTACTCCCATGGGTACTCCACCAACTTTGTTCTTATGCCTTTTATGGTTATTATTGAGTCTATTAGGTTAGTTATTCGCCCAATTACTTTGTCTATTCGGCTTACAGCTAATATGATTGCTGGTCACTTACTTTTGTCTCTTTTGGGCTCTTCTGGAGTTGGAGTGAGGGGATTTGTATTGTTGTTTTTGTTATTTATAGTTCAAATTATGTTGTTTGTTTTGGAGATTTTTGTATCCTTGATTCAGGCTTATGTATTCTCGATTCTTTCTGCTCTGTATAGAAGGGAGTCTTAGTTAGTTTTGTTTATTGATTTTTTATGATTAAATATACCCAAAACCATTCGTTTCATTTAGTTACCCCTAGTCCGTGGCCTATTGTGATTTCTTTTAGTATTTTCAATAATTTAGTTTTTATT